TTTTTGTAGAGGAGTGAATGTCGTTCCTTTTCTAGAGCTCATTGGGTTACCTGACAGTGTGGTAAGCATCCTGAAAAACTCCCAGAGTGGAAATGCACTCACAGCGTATGCCTTGTTTAAGGTGGGTACTGTGACAAACCCTTGCTCCTCAGACCTCACCAGTGGCCTGCTCGTCTCCCCATGAGACTCCGTGTTAGCTTCCGATTGTATTTTGTAACTTGAAACACTATTTCATCTCTGATATGTCTGGTGAATAATGTAAGGTAACACTTTTTTTTTGTTTGGAGATGGAGTTTCACTCTTGTTGCCCAGGCTGGAGTGCAGTGACGCCATCTCAGCTCGCTGCAACCTCCGCGTCCCGGGTTCAAGTGATTCTTCTGCCTCCGCCTCCCGAGTGGCTGGGACTACAAGATAACAAAATAAAGCAGAAGTAAAAATGTGGTTTTAGGAAGAAATGCCTTAAAAATTGGTAGATGATCCATAACTTGCTGTGATCAGATAGTTAGACTTGTGTGATTTTCCACAGCACTAGCCGTCTGTTTGACATTTTTGCTCCTGTTGATAAATGGAGATACAGTTATTTTAAGATGTTAATTATATTTATTTTTCTTATTCTGTGATCTGCATGCCACCTGACTTGTTAGCAAAATTTAGCATTTATTTTACTGTTTTTTGTCTTGTTTTGTTTTCTGTGTGTGGTTTTAAGGAGCAGAGAGTTTAATAGGCAAGAAGGGGCAAGAAGGAAGGGAGAAGGAAGAAGCTCCCCTGTACAGAGACAGAAGTGGGGGGCCTCCAAAGCCGAAAGAGGAGGTCCCCTATTTTACTGTTTTTAATAGTTGATCTTTTCTTAGCAAGTAAAATAGGTTTAATCCCAATTGTCTTATAAACCCTTTTTTGTTAGATTTTAACCTAACATATGTTTCATTTTAAGAGTTGATAATCTTTATAACTATTCTCTGGATTCAGACATCATCTTTTTTTTTTGAGGCAGAGTTTCGCTCCTGTTGCCCAGGCTGGAGTACAATGGCGCGATCTCAGCTCACCACAACCTCTGCCTCCCGGGTTCAAGCAGTTTTCTTGCTTTAGCCTCCCGAGTAGCTGGGATTACAGGCGTGTGCCACCATGCCTGGCTAATTTCGAATTTTTTTAGTAGAGACGGGGTTTCTCCCTGATGGTCAGGCTGCTCTCGAACTTCTGACCTCAGGTGATTTGCCGGCCCTTGGCCTCGCAAAGTGCTAGGGTTACAGACGTGAGCCACTGCACCTGGCCTGACAACGTCATCTTGATAGCTGCTATGCCTATGGGTCTTTATTTTGGAAGGGAAGACTCACTGTAAATTGTGGAGTTTAGCGATATTAATCTCATTTTCTAAATTGACAAATATTTTTGAGAGTCTGTGAAACTTCTACCTAAGAAGGTGGAAAACACTGAGAAACTAGATGTTTTATTTTACTTCTGTTGTATAAGAATATCTAAGAATTACGGTTTTATAGCATTACTGAAAAGTAGCATTGTTTCATTCTGTCATCCTCATTAGCATCCTCTGAAATCTTGGTAGATTTCCTCTTTTATTACAATTTTGATGAGAGGGCTAACATTTAATTGTTGAGTTTTTCTACATTAAAGTGTATTAAATTTAAAAATTACCAAGTTTCTAGTTATGGTGGGTATAACTTTAACCCGAGTAAGTCAAACTATCATGCTGATGTAAACCTTCCCTAATTTAATTGCTCCTTAGCCCACTCCCATAGCATGACAGTTGATAGCACAGTCTGTGCTAGGTGTTAAGTGTTTGTTTTCTTTATTTGATTAGGAGCTCCCAGGAATTCAGAATCATGTCTTCTTTCTTGTTGTTTTTTCACTGCACCTGGTATTGTGTTCTGTAGGTGAATAAAATGGTCAGCATGTGTTTGTGGAGTTGGGATTGAAAACGAAGCTGTAGGCGTCATGGTAGGAAGATCAGTGCCAGTGGTGGTTCTTCCCCCTCACTATTCCTCTGTGAAGTAGGAGATACGGAGGGGATTCTCCTGTGTGTTATCTGTAACCCATAGTTTCTCAGATAGAACAACAGACACAGATTTTTTGCTTCATCAAGACAAAGCCCCCAAATGAAGTATGGCATGTATGGTCTGGCGGCAGTTGGCTGCAGGATGTATACACTGACTGCCTCATAATCTCTTTGAAATACACCCAGAGTTTTAGTCAGCCTGTTCTGTGTGCCAGATCCCATTCCAGGTACTGGGAGTAAATGAATCAAAGAAGACAGTGCAAAATACCTGCCTCGTGGAGCAGACAGTGTCGTGAGTGATGGTGGGTTGGGGAGACAAGATACAGTTAGAAGTGCTGCACACACAAAGTATGTGCACATAGATGATGGTAAGTGCTGAGAAAGGAAACCAGGGATGGGGGTGTGTTTGTGGTGTTTGTTTTTCAGTGGGAGATGGCACACCTCGCTGAGAAGGTGAGATAGTTTGTTTTTCAGTGGGAGATGGCACACCTTGCTGAGAAGGTGAGATAGTTTGTTTTTCAGTGGGAGATGGCACACCTTGCTGAGAAGGTGAGATAGTTGCTCCTCCAAGAGGGAGAAGTGTTCCGAACAGAGAAAACTCGAAAGGCAAGTTCTGAGGCTGCGGGATCCTGGGAGTATTTAAGGGATGCAGGGAAGCCAGTGTGACTGGAATCGGTGAACAGGGCAGAGAATGGTGTGTCGTCAGATCAGGAAAGCCTTGTCAGCTCTTACAGGGACTTCGCTTTTTACCCTGAGGACAGGGAAAGCCACTGGACAATTTTAAGCATCCTGCCTCTGTTCCATCAAAATCACTTTGGCTCCTCTAAACAGACCATGGCAGGACCAAGGGAAAAGCCAAGGGACCTGGTGTGAGGTGAGGTGATTACAGTACTTGAGTCGAGAGGCAAAACTGGCCAGAAGCCAGGTGGTAGCAGGAAGTAGTTGGATTCTCAATGTATTTTAAAGACGTGGTTGCTGGGGTTTTCTGATGATTTGGATATAAATTATGGAAGAGAAAGAGGGATTGAAGCTTTCTTGTAAGTTTTTGGCCTGGGCAGCTGGAAGAATAGAATTGCCATTTTCTGAGATGAGGAAGACTTTGAGAGGAGCAGGTGTGAAGTAGGACAGTTGAAGATCTGAAGGTCAGTTTTGAACATGCAGTCATGTGCCACCCGGTAACATTTCGGTTAACCGTGAACTGCAGACAGTGATGGTCCCACAGGTCCCATGTTTTTATGAACACCATGTTTTTACTCTGCCTTTTCTATGTTTAGATAGTTTCGGTATACAGATACTTACTGTGGTCTTACGATTGCCTGCTGTATTCGGCGCAGTGCTGTGCTGTCCAGGTTTGCAGCCTAAGAGCAGTAGGCTGTACCTTGTGGCCTGGTGTGCACGGGGCTGTACCATCTAGGTTTGTGTAAGTACACTCTGTGATGTTTCACACAACAACACAATCACCTAATGACACGTTTCTCAGAACGTGTCCCTATTAAGTGACTCACCTGCATTAAGTCTGAGATCTTATTAGACATGCAAATCTCCGGAGGTGGTTGTACATACTGGAATTCAGGGGACAAGTTCAGTCTGGAGATTAAAGTTAACAATCATCCATGTATAGACGGCACTAAAGACCAGACAGTGAGATAGGTAGCGAAAATAAGAGGTCCAGGGATCGATTGTTGTCACACCGTGTTCAGAGGTGGGTGAAAAGAGAGGAACTGGCAAAAATGAGAAGCCGCCATGAACCGGAAGGAAGCCCAGCAAGTTGAGGGCCTGGAGCCAAGTGAAGAGAAGTGAAAGTGAAAGCCGTCTTGAATGGTTCCAGTGGTTCAGGGGCTGGTTCCAAATGGACAACTGGATTTAGTTTTGTAGAGGTCACTGTGACTTTGAAAGCAGTTTTGGTAAAGAGGTATGGGTGAAAGCTTGCTTAACGTGTTTAGAAGAGAAATTAGAGATAGAGCAGACAGCTCTTTCAGAGTTTTGTTATACGGCACACCTATGCGTTTTGTTTTGTTTTGTTTGAGACAGGGTCTTGCTCTGTTTTCCAGACTGGAGTGCAGTGGTGCAGTCACAGCTCCCTGCAGCCTCAAACTCCTAAACTTGAGCAGTCCTCCTGCATCAGCCTCCCAAGTAGCTGGAACTACAGGTGCATGCCACTTACTCCCGGCTAATTATTTTTCTTTTCTTTTTCTTCTTTCTTTTTCTTTTTGTTTTAAGAGACGGCATGGTCTCATTATGTTGCCTAGTTTTGAACTTCTGAACTCAAGCACTCCTCCTGTCTTAGCCTCCCAAAGTGCTGGAATTTTAGGCGTGAGCCATTGTACCTGCCAACACCTATGAATTTTTTTTTTTTTTTTGAGAGGTAGCTTCACTCTTGTTGCCCAGGCTGGAGCGCAATGGTGTGATCTCGGTTCGCTGCAATCTCCGCCTCCGGGTTCAAGCGATTCTCCTGCCTCAGCCTCTCGAATATCTGGGATTACAGGTGCCTGACACCATGCCCGGCTAATTTTTGTACTTTTAGTAGAGACTGGGTTTCACCATGTTGACCAGGCTGGTCTTGAACTCCTGAACTCAGGTGATCCACCCACCTCAGCCTCCCAAAGTGCTGGGATTACAGTCATGAGCCACTGCACCCGGCCTGATTTTTGACTTAGATATGTGATGCAGCCTTTTTACTTTTATGTTTCTCTTTGACCAGTCATCTGCTATTTACCATTGGTCCTAAAAGTTCCAATTAACGTTAAACCTGTGCATATCTGCAGCAGGTGTGGCATTTTACTACTTTTGGCCTCATGTAAATTACTGGCTAGGATTTGAGACTCAGGGTAGATTGTAATGAGAAGGTAGAAGGAAAGGGATTTGGAAGTGAAGCTAACCTAAATCCAACAGAGAGTGGATTCATGCTCTGCCTCTCACCATTTGAAGACATTCAGTTCTAGTTTAGCTCCAGATAGAAAGCATTTGGCAGGATGGCAGGAGTTTTAAGGAATAGAAACATGTGTTCCTTTGTTATTTTTAGTGGTACTGAGTCCTGTTTCTGATTTCCAGGTTGAGCTGTTCGCCAAGTTTACTAGCATGCGATTAGGGATGTCAGTGCTATGATTCTGTTATCTGGGTCAGGATTGTGTGGAGGACAAACGTTCATAAAATGAGTTCACAGAAGAAGTGTCTCTTGTTAGGAGGGAAAACCATATAGGATATTACTACATTAGCTTTGTGAAACAATGAGGCAATTTATTCTGATTGGTTACTACCAAGAATTTTAATTTTAACTTGTTTTTGCTTAAGATGATGGTAATAACCAGGTTTTGATTTGTCTCTGTTTGCTTTTTGCTTAAGATTGCAACACCTGCTCGGTATACCGTGACTTTGGGAGGAACATCCTTCACTGTGAAATATCTGCGCAGTCGTGGCTACATGTCCACGCCACCACCCGTCAAGGAGTATCTACAGGACAGGATGGAGGAGACAAAGGAGCTTATCACAGAGAAGATGGAAGAAACAAAAGACAGACTCACTGAAAAGTTACAAGAAACCAAAGAAAAAGTTTCCTTTAAGAAAAAAGTGGAATAAGGTGCCTTACAGCAGTATAGAAGTATAGCAGTATGGAAAATTCCTGCACTTTAACCCTTTGGAAACTGTGGGCAAAGATACGTGTGTCTGATTATTTTTTTGGTTAGTTGTCTAAATATACAAGTTCTCTGAGGGTTAAAGAAGTAAAATACCTTTTTAAAGTTAAATATCACTAGAAAAATCAGTGTTATTACAAGGAAAGAAATGAACCCAGTGTAAGAATTTCCCATCAGTAGCAGTATTAAGCAGTGGTGAACGTCGTAGAAGTCATACTTCTTTTTCCAGGTCTTCAGAACCACACTTCATTTCTGTTTTGTTGCAGCTGTAATTGATGCACACTGGAGGCAGTTGACTCCTGGAATAACCAGTGCGACCCGTAAAATAAGCTAATACTGGATCTTAATTTTTATGTTATTCATTAAGGTTTTAACTATATTCAGTACGTAATTTGGAGACAAACTAGCATCATCCAAACTGCCTGTGAATAAGAAGGTATTTAGTCTTTCTATAAAAACAGAATAGAGCAGTTACCTACCAGTTAAAATATATGAAGAAAATAGAATAAAGTTTCAGTCATATATATGTAAATACGATGTATTGATTGTACGTAAATGAAAAATGGACCCTTTAAAAATTATTTTTACCTGAAGCTTGTCATAATTTTTTTAAGCAAATATATATATGGTGATGGTATTTTTCGAAGTGTGTGTTGGTGGTGATCGCCTCAAACATAAACCTCTCATGAATTATTTGTGTCCTTTTCACCTGATCTTTCAGAGGAAAGGTGAACAATCATTAAACCTTAAATTTATTGTTAAAATCAAATGTTTTTCAGCAGTAACTCAAGCTCATGGTTCTCAAGCAGACAAAGGTTGGGAGACTAAAAATGGAGTCAGGTTGTCGTGGAGACTGCTAACTCCTTGGGGTAGGCACGGGCCTTGCCTCTGCAAACCAGTGCAATTTCCCAGTGTCTTCGTTTCAGAATTCATGCTGATTTCATTATGGAGTAAAGTTTTAAATTGTGGCTGCTGCTTTTTATCTTGCATTGAAGGGAAAATATCCTTGTTTGAGCATTCTACTTGATTTTTTATTTTTTTATTTTTTAATTTTTTTTGAGACGGAGCCTCCCTCTCTCTCCCAGACTGGAGTGCAGTGGTGTGATCTTGGCTCACTGCATCCTCTGCCTCCCAGGTTCAAGTGATCCTCCCACCTCAGCCTTCCAAGTATCTGGCCGTACAAGCGTGTGCCACCACACTCAGCTAATTCTTGTATTTTTAGTGGAGGTGTGGTTTCACCATATTGACCAAGCTAGTCTCCAACTCCTGACCTCAGCCTCCCGAGTAGCTGGGACCACAGGCACCCGCCACTGTGCCCGGCTAATTTTTTGTATTTTTAGTAGAGACGAGGTTTCACCGTCTTAGCCAGGATAGTCTTGATCTCCTGACCTTGTGATTCGCCCACCTCAGCCTCTCCAAGTGCTGGGATTACAGGCATGAGCCACTGCGCCCAGCTGATTGTTTTTTTTTTTTTTTAAATAACAAAGCTATAATTAAATCATTTGCTTGTAATGAAATTCAGCCATTGTCAGCTGTGAGCGTTGCTGGGGTGGTGGGGTGTGTTTGAGTATGTGTGTGTCTGTTTCCTATGCTCTAACAGTGATTATTTCAGTTCTAACCCTTCCATTGCTAATTGAATGAGGGAATGGCCTCCTTTTAGATTGTCCTTGTTTTAACTTACCTGCTAAGGCAAGAGGATGTCAGGGTTTGCCACACAGTCTGCAGGGACCGCTGCTCTTTGCCAGCATTTTTGTATCAAGTACTTAGTTTGGCCAAATTTAAAGAGTAGTTTAAAGGGGAAAAAAAGTTTGCATTTGACGAGTCTGATTATTATATTAGAATGCTTTTTAAATGAATGCGCTGTGATTGGAATCTTTCTTCCTGGGGGCCGGGGGGAGTGCGGGGAGATGCGGCGGTGTCTCTGCCGTCGGCAGTCTTGGCGGGTAGCTCCGTTGTCTCCTGACACAGAGGGCTGAATGCACTGCTTCACACTGACGCCACGTTTTCAAACCTAAACATGATTGACATGTTTTAAGTATGTACCAAATAATTCACACTTTTGCATATTTAAATGCTATTTTTTAGATATTAAACACATTCCTAGTTTTTTTCTTTTTAACCACTGGAGACTGCCTATGTTAAAATCTTGTGTTATATGAAATTCTTCTAAAACAATTTCCTTTTGCTTTTCGTGTTGCATATTTTCCAGTGGGGATAAATTGGAGGTTCTTATTACTAATAATCCTGAAACTGAAATTTGCTTTTCCTGCATAGTCATCTTTTGTTCAGTCCATTTGAGTTTTGTTGCCATCCAGTTTCATAATCATGTTGTGTTTATCTAATAGACAATGAGGTGCTGCTTGAGTGATATGAAATTCTCTAGTAAAAAATTCTCTGGAGATGTGAGAAGTTCTGTTGTATTACTTGGCACCAGGAATGTTACAAAGATGCTGTTGCCAGCATATTGCTAACCTAGTCTTTAAGCTTCAGGGACCCCTGTAGTATGTTGAGTTGGGAGTATTAATAGCAGGCTAACAGAATATAGTACCAATATGCCACGTTAAATAATTGAGAATATATACAATAAATTATAGTTCGCTATATATAATAGACCTCATTTCATTTACAGTACATCTTACAGTTGGGATTAATTCACCTATAACCTCTGTGAACTGCGAGTGCTCGGCAGAAGCAGGCCCGTGTCTCGTTGAATGTCTACATTTATATTTATTTTTTTGAGACAGAGTCTCAGTCTGTCACCCAGGCTACAGTGCAGTGGCATGATCATAGCTCACTTGCAGTCTTGAACTCCTGGCTCAAGTGATCCTGCCACCTCAGCATGCTGAGTAGCTAGGACTACAGGTGCACACCACCATGGCTGGCTAAATGCATGTCTGCGTTTATGCAAGGTATGTTGACCGGGTGGGGAGGGAGCTGGGACTGAGATTCGCCTCTGTGAAATGCACAAAAAGGGTTTGCTAAGCAAATTGGTATTTGAAGTGAAAGATGGATTAAGTGAGAGACTTAGTTTATTCAGGAATAAGAGCAAAACCAACCACATGAAAAAATGTATTTTACTGAGACAGCCTTTTGTGCATACCACAGGGTGCTGTTTACAGATTTCAAGAAAGGAGAAAAAGAATGCTTACATTGAGATTACCTACCTCCCAGTAGTGAAAATAATAAATTATCCTTTGAAATATAATCATGTGTTTATTTGTCACAGAATCTACACTCATTTACAAGTGCTTTATGCTCAGGATGAAATGGAGATAGTGGCTCTCTTGTTTCAGTGATCTTAGAAGATAATTCCAGGAATTTTAAAGATCTTAATGGTATGAGCAGAACAGGTGTTTGAAGAAAAGAAGGAAATTTTATGTTTGACACACGGAGCTTCTTTCTGTGTTCTTAGTGTTGGGTTTGGGTCATTCAGGATTTCTTAACTAATTCAGACGTAAATCAGGCTACTGTAAAAGATAGTTGTAATGGATTGGACAGAAGATGATTTTTAGCCAGTGAGGCAAAAAAAGTCATCTTTCCTGCTTTTTCTGAAATGATATGTTGAGAAGACGTTTCTGTGAGACATGCATTTCTGAATTAAAGGGTTCCTTCTGAAAATACAGATTGTTAGGTGATGTGAACATATTTTTTCTGTTGGTCAAAGTTCATTTTTTGAAATGAGGGCCTTCATTTATTTTTGATTTTCAAAATTGAGTCTCTGTAAGGCCTAAAATAAAATAAATTAAATGTTATCCAAGTTGTTTGCGCCTGTTTAAATATCTTTTTTGCAAGTCGTTTATATTTCTTGGTACTGAAAGCTCTACTCAATTGTCCTTATGAGCATGAAGGTCACACAGTGCGTCGGATCATACTGGCCCAGATGCCTGAGGGGCACATGTGCACTCTGGGAAGTGGGAGCCTCTTCGCTGCCTGCCTTGGAATTCAACCACCTGAGCCAGAAATCTACAGAACCAGAGGTGGGGAATTTTACCTGTTCATTTTGCAGATGTTAATGTTGTTCTCTTTTGGATCATTTGTATGTTACGTGGTATGAGGTTACTATTACATGAGATTGCAGAACGTGCTGCATCGTGTTCATTTTGCAGATGTTAACGTTGTTCTCTTTTGGATCATTTGTATGTTACGTGGTATCAAGTTACTATTACATGAGATTGCAGAACGTGCTGCATCATGTTCCCTGAAGACAGTGGGAGTCATGACCTCTTTCTTCCTTTCTGGCCTTGAATAGTCTGGGAGACCACACCTGCTTCCCACAGTTCCTCTGCAGTCATGAATTTTGGCCTGACCTTCTGGTTCTTGAAAGGTCTTTCCCCTGCACTTGGAGCTTGTAACTTGTATTAGAGAAATGCCAAGTCAGGCCAGTTGATGATATTTTCCCTCTGCAGAATTTTTCCTTTGTGACTTTTGTGTCAAGTTTGTTCATTTTAACTAGTCAAAACAAGCTTTTAATTGTCTTGCTTCTTCAGGGTTAGGCTTTGAAAATCAAGCTGTATTCTTCTTTATGCATCATTGACAGTCACCAACAATAGTAATTTTAGATCATAATTATCCCGTGGCAATTATGATAAGAATTATTTCCTTAGTAGAAAGAATGCATCCTGATTTCAGAAACCTCCAGGGCAGAGGATATCATGAAGCCTGTTCTTTATTCTAGTGACTTGATTGGACAGTCATAGTAGAGAGAGGCACAGGCCGCCAGAGGCATTCTCGGAGTATCACGTCTCTACGGATGAAGGTGCTTCTGGAGAAGCACGTGTCAGTGTGTTTTCTCTGGGACAACATGCCCCATGAGAAAAGCTGAGCACAGTTAGACGCATCCTGCCTGCCACCGAAGCAGATTTTCACTCTACTTGAAAGTGAGGATTGAACACAACCTCTCGTCTTTTCCTTCCGTCTCCCGCCCTCTGTCCAGCTTCTTCTGTTTTGGATTTTGAATAATGTAAATGTTAGAAAAACTTTGAAGTGAGAAAGAAAAAGACAAATTCGCCCTGAGCATGTCAGGTCCACGTACTGCTTGACGTTTCTTTTTTTTTTGAGACGGAGTCTCGCTCTGGTCTCCCAGGCTGGAGTGCAGTGGCCGGATCTCAGCTCACTGCAAGCTCCGCCTCCCGGGTTCACGCCATTCTCCTGCCTCAGCCTCCCGAGTAGCTGGGACCACAGGTGCCCACCACCGCGCCCGGCTAGTTTTTTATATTTTTTAGTGGAGACGGGGTTTCACCGTGTTAGCCAGGATGGTCTCGATCTCCTGACCTCGTGATCCGCCCATCTCGGCCTCCCAAAGTGCTGGGATTACAGGCTTGAGCCACCGCACCTGGCCTGCTTGACGTTTCTGTGTGGACCTCCTTGCTGTGGTCTCTAGGGGTGGATAGGCACGCTGTCTCCACAAAGAGGAGGACGGTGAACTTCCAGCTGCATTTGACTGATACTAGGTCATTTTTAGTTCTTAGAGAAACAACATTAAAACCTAAACTTCATCCTTTTTATTTTGATAAAATGAACTTCCCCTTATTTTTTAATCAAATACATGGCAAAAGTCAGCCTTATCCTCTGTTTGGATAGTTCCATAAAGGCTGTTCTAAGCATGGGATAAGAAATCATGGCAATTCTGTATCTTCTCTTACACCAGTTAGATGTTTAACTCTAAAACCTGTGATTTTTTTTTTTTTTAATGAACACATGGCATTTTCTCATACACGTGTATTCCAGCCTTACTGTCTGTGCCCGTCTATGTACAAGATTTGCGAC